AAGCACATTAAAAATGCAAGTAGAAAAATAGGAACCACCTTTGGTGAGAAGGGAACAGCGTTCCGTGCCCCTTCGGCGTTGAGTCATGCCAGCCACATGACCACGGAGACGTCTTCGGACAGTGGTGGCTCTTTGGCTTTGAAACGGAGATGAGCACCGCACCCTAGAGCCAGGAATGACTAGCACATATGTGCAAGGGGAACCTTTACCTTTATCTTGAATAGAATAGCATAGAATAGAATAGAGAATGGAATGGAATGGAGGGGAAAGGAAAGAGAAGAGAAAAAGAAAAGAGAGAATAGAATATAAATTAGAATATAGAATAGAACAGAATAAGAAACACAACAGAAGAGAAGAGAATAAGGAATAGAATTGAATAGAATAGAAACTTGGAGGTCTTCTAGTCCAGCTCCCTGCTCAAGCAGGAGACCCTATACCATTCATGACAAATGGCTCTCCACTCTCTTCTTGAAAACCTCCAGTAATGAAGTCATTACAACTTCTTGTCGCAAGCTGTTCCACTGGTTATTTGTCTTCACTGTCGGGAAGCTATTCCTCAATTCCAGGTTGCTTCTCCCCTTGATTAGTTTCCATCCATTTTTTTTCTTGCCTTCTGGTGCTTTGGAAAATATATCCCCCCCCCCCAAAAAAAAATCTGTGTAGCATTCTGGGCCTGGCGCTTTCGTTTTTGACATCAGAGGCCTTTTTTTTTTTAATTTCCAAGCACAAAAGTCAGAAACATCCTTGTCCAGTGGCACAAACACCATAAAAGTAAGAGTGTATAAAACCTGCAGTGCAAGTGAATTAAACTAAATTTTAAATGACTGAAAATCCATTGCTTCACCACCGTCCTGAGAGTGACTTAGGTTTTGCACCTAGCACTACAACTCTCAACAAAATAAAGCGGTGGGAAATTTGAGACTAGAGAAACAGAAGTCTTTCTGTTGAAGTTAGCTTGTGAACGTGTGAGAATATTCATGAGCGGCAGAGACATGGTAACAAGGTCAGCCAATGGGAGCTGAAACAGTTTGGAGTCTGGGTGTGGCTGAGCTGTGAATTGAGACTAAAAGAAACTATATATAGCCTGCCTGTGTTTGAAACTGCTTACAATTTCTCTTCTCTACCACGTTGGAAGAATCTGCTGTTGGCGTTGTACATTTATTCATGTGTTATTTATGTATATAAAGAAGTTAATGAATCCTGCTGAATCAGTTATCTGTGTGTGCTTTCTGGATTTGATTTTTGCAACAAACTCTGACAACTAAACCATGGTCTGTCTGTCTGTGTCTTCTCTTTTGTGTTCCAGGTTTGGAATTCGCCTACTCCGCGGCTCCGAAATCGATGCAAAGTGCAATAATGGGCCTCTTCTTTTTTTTTTCTGGAATCGGGTCTTTCGTGGGCTCCGGTCTCCTGGAGTTGGTGTCCCTCAAATCAATCGGTTGGATGAGCAACCACACA